CGTCGCACGGCTCACGCACACGCCGATTGCGACACACAACTCGTCGACGAATGCGACTATGGACGACAACACGACGACGTTCCCGCTTGGCCAGAGCCTGTACGTCGACGCGACGCACAAGGTTGTCGTCCTCAGCGGTGCGTCTACAGCTCTTTTCTCGCGTTGTGATGGAGGCCGAGGGATCACGGGCGAACGTAAGTTCTTACGGCACTGAACCTGAACAACTTCGCCGCGACTGGTCCCCTGCCATACACCCACATCCCACCACGCCGGTCCTTCAAGACCTCGCACCTCGCGCCTTTCGCGACCAATGTCTACTTCCAGTGTACGCTACCCCTTTCTCTACCTTCCCTTCTCTACACTGCTGAACACTCTGCACCCAGTGCTCTCGTGCGCAGACACGCACGGCCCGCAGATACGAATCATCGTCAACGACGGCGTTGTGCCACTCACGTCGCTGCGCGGATGCCCGCACCAGCCCGACGGGCTCTGCCCACTCGACACCTTCGTCGCTGCACTGAGCGAGATCATCCAAACGACAGACTGGCAGTGGGGGTGCCACGGTAACTGGAGCGTCACCGCTGGCCATGTGTGGAACACCACGACGGGGTCCTACCCGCCGCCTGCGTGAGTGCGCGTTGTGGGCGGAAGTTCGTTGTGTGTTAAGTGGGGCAACGGGTGGCGTCGGAGCTCGTCGAGCTAAATTTTGTTACTAATGCTGTTCGCTGAGCGTGTATGTACTTGTGAGCTGAGGGCGACAGATCAATTGGGCGAAGGGCTACAGATCTGGCCCGCCTGATATAGGACAAGTTTTGCAAGAGCCGATTGACTGCAGGGGCGAGTTGCGTGTTCTTGCCGAATCTGTCACAAGTGACCACGACGAAGGCTTGATGATCCCACAAGCTGTGTGGCCTTCGTTGTGATCGGTCAGCACACGCGGCGAAGCTGAACGCGGAAACAGTGCTCATTGCGTGAATTATGGGATCATGTCTAATGTAGGATTACAGTGGTCATAACATACAGAGACCAAATGATAAATGGGTAGGAAAGTCACTAACGGCTACTGCGCTGTCTCGTCATATTACCATATTCCCCACAGGAAGGTGTCTGCTTATCCGTTATTCACCCCTGCCTAAGATTCGCAGCGCCCGACATGTGATAGACACGGCAGCAGGCAGCATGAATATGTAAATAATCGGCAGATGGCAAATCGAGGTCTGGTTGAGTGGTCTGGAACTCGATGATGCGGGGAATCTCCCAACTGTTGAAAATTATAAGCGGTATAGACGTCTCGACTTGATAGCGGTTCGGTGTCTCCTGAGAAAGTGCTGATAAGCCTGAGAGAGAGAGAGAGAGAGAGAGAGAGAGAGAGAGAGAGAGAGAGAGAGAGAGAGAGAGAGAGAGAGAGAGAGAGAGAGACTTCAAAGACTTACGGTCGGGACGAGCCATAGCTTGAGCTTGTCGAAGTATGAATGTAATGTGTGATGGAGCGTGAGAATATTGCGCAAAGAATGAATCCCGTGGCCCTCCAGCTCCTTGCGAATATTGGGGTACCCGAAATGCTCGATGATAGTCCATGCGTTACCCGCATATTCGCGCTAAAAGGATTCAAGGTGAGATCACGACTGTTAAGTTTCAGATCTTTCATACCTTCGCGTAATTGCGAAGGTCCCAATTTGTAGACTCTGAGAAGACGTGGGAACACTCTGTTTGCGCTACGTGTTTCCAGTTGATATTCAAAGTGAAACCCTAGGCCACTTGTCTCTCCAAATATTTCGTCTCCACGTGGCCAGATATTACGCATCTCTGGTTATCGCGACGCGGGCCTAAGTCCAATATAAAGGGGGATGCATGTACTGACAATAGAAAGTCGGCTCACAGAGGATTTTGCATGCCGATGATCTCGAGGACTGGGTTTCAAGTCTTGCACAACTAGGGCTTGAGTCTCATTGAATATTGAAATGGAAAGATTGTCTGGGATGGTTTCAAGAAGTGGGCCCTTTAGCTTTTCAAAACTG